AATTGTTTTGGTCGCCAATTTTAGTCGCCAAAGGTGCAGTTTGTTGTAGTGTATTATTTTAGACAAAAAGGCAATGTCCCAAATTAGGCCTCAATGTATTATGTAAAAAATGTAGGACTAATTATATTTTCTCAAAATCTCAAAAAAAAAATAACAAATTAATATAATAACTTATATATAAGAAAAATATTTGAGATCCGTAATAAAATCCCAACAATTTCACCCACAATTATATGAAATGATGAGTGTCAATTTTTTATTGTCACACATTCAATCAGTGGAGATCTACTTCCTTTTCACATTATTGTGAGTTTATTTGGAGATCTACTTCATTGTCACATTATTGTGAGTTTATTTGGAGATCTCAAATGTGGTCTCCAGTATTACTCCTTATATAATTATGAAAAATGATTCATACACATGAGTCATCAAGAGACATGCCAAGCTTACTGATACTGTAATTATTATGTCCAAATCTTATATTGTAACTGATTTTTTTGGTTTTGACCAATCAATGGTTTAATATAGGACAGATTTATTTAAAAAATTAAAATCACGTCTCACCCATAAATCCAAATCTTATGGGCTAAAATCAAACCTAACCGGGTTACACATTTTTTAATATTTTCATAAGTTATTTTTCTTATTACTTTCCAACATAATTCAAGTGTTTTGATTTGTGTTTTTTTTTTTTTTTTACCTTTTTACATCTCATATAATTAGAAAACAATCAAGTAACATATAATACCTATAAGTGGAGGAAAAAAATAAAAAATAAAAACTTTAAACATGAGAACAAAAAAAAAAAACTAAACATTAGACAAAAAAAAAATCAAACTAAACATTAAACTTACTAATGTGGGTTCTTACGGGTCGGTTTATGGCGGGCTCATATCACAAATCTTTGTTTAAAATCCTAAATCATCTTTTATGAGTTAAGACTTGTTAAGCACTTAAGTGGGCTGAGACCGGTTATGGGACGAATTGGTTGGATTGTGTTGGATTGGATAATATCGGATTTTTTTATTTGCGGGCCATTTGGAAACCCCAACATACACACAATTGCTCGCCCTCAAATCCCCCCAAATTATGTGGCAAACAAAATTTAAAAAATTGACCCACACTCTAATATTGTCTTGCCACTTCATTTGGGGGATTATGGAAGAGAGAAATTAAGTGAATGTAACACTGTTATATAATTATATCAAAATTTTGGGATTTCTTATAGAAAAATAATTTATCCACACAATTATTTTCCCTTCAAATGCCCCCAAATAACGTGGCAAGTAAAATTTAAAAAGTTAACCTACATTATAATATTTTTTCAAAACTTTAAAGTCAGTGTAATTTATTATTGAGGAAATAACAGTATAGTGTAGTAGTTAAAAGAAAAATCATAAATCAATGAAAAAATTTATACGCTTTAATAATTAAAATGATATATTATTTTCATGATTTTGTAATTTATTCTTACATCATCACCATTCGTTTTATTAGATGGACACTCTCACCTGTTAATTCCCCCTTTGTTATTTATTATTGGGTAACTTACATTTTGTTCTATTTATATTTGGTCATTTTTTCACTTCATCTTTAAAATTTATTTATTTTTATTTTGGCCTTTTATGTTTTAAAATTTTCCTAATTTACTTCAAAAATTAATTTTTATTCAAAATTAGATAGAAAATAGCAAAATAATTATCACATAATATATAAAATATTTATTATATTAGAGTTTGAGTTTATATTAGAGATGTGAATTATATATAATAAAATATTTTTATATCACGTGACTCTTAATATGTTATTTTCTATCTAACTTTTAACGGAAATTATTTTTAAAAGTAAAATAAAAAAACTTGAAATGTAAAAGGTTAAAGTGAAAAAAAATAAATTTTAAAGATTAAAATAAAAAAAATAAGTCAAATATAAAGGGGCAAAATATAATTTCTCATTTAGTATTTTTTTCTTTATATTTCTCTTTTCTTGTCATTAATTTCATTAGATAAAATATTAATATTTTATCAAATATTTTATATAAATATAAGACTCACACCATATAAATTTAATAAATATATTAATAAAATATTTAAAAATTATTTAAAATAATTTAAATAAATATATATTTTAAATTTTTATAAAATATAAATTAAATTTAAAATAATATATTAAAAAAATAAAATAACTTAAATAAAATAATATAATTTAAATAAAATAATAACTTTTTAATTTTTTTGAAACTGTCAAATCAATCATTCATTAAAATATACCGTCACTCCATGTGATGGGCCCACGCCACTTTTTAGTACTTTTCCCCCCTCTCTCTCTCTGAGGCAAGTCTATGACTCAGTTCACAAATTATATAGTATATCAAATGTTAGAATGGTTCAAAATCTCAAAATCGTCTCATTTTAAAAAAAAATTTATTTTATTATTGATAAGATAATATTTTTTATATCATTCAGACCATTTAAACTTTACGCATTTGAACTCTCACGTATTTTTCTTACATATATGTCTCGTTCAAAACAAATAACAGAATATCTTGACGATCTTAATACAGACATTGTTTTGAATTTGCGGATAGATGTGATGATTTTTCTGTAATACAATATCTTATAATGGCTTATTATAAAAAAAAAATAGAGAGATTTAAGGCCTTGTTTAGTAATTTTTAGTTTTAATTAAAAAGTTAAAAAAATTATTATAAATTATCATATCACTCATTTTATTTTTTTACGTATCATTTTATAAAAAGTCAAAAAATTATTAAAATAATTTATTTCTAAACGGGACTTAAATAAATCAATAAATCAATAGACTAACTTTTTTTTTTTACATTTTCAAAAAAATGAAATTTTTTTGACAAGAGGTTAAAAGTCAATTCTTTTGAGTCATATCATTTTAATTTTTTTATAAATTTTTTTTTAAAAAAAAAAAACCTAATTTTAACCTATTTTTCAAAACAATATTTCCCAACCTGTCCTCATTGCGTGATTCCAATTTCTTCTTTTTTTCCTCTATGTTCCACGCACTTCTCATGTTTAAAATCTAAACAAGCTCCGTTTGACACGTTATTTTTTGACAAAAAAAAATTTCAAAGTAAAAAAAAAAAAAATCAACAAATTTTTCGTTAACGCAATATCACATTATATATATTAATTAATCATTTTTTTCCCACAACTGCTTATTCAACCAAAAAAAATCATTTCAAAAACTTTTTGGATTATGCTATAATATAAGAGTGTGTACTTTATGTAATATATTTATAGAATGGCAACAACTTTTTTGCCTAAATAAACATAAAAAGACAAGATAAACTAAATAAGTTAACAAGATAAAATATCACATGTAAATTATAATTATTTTAATTTTTCTATCACAATCATCACATTTAAGGGTTTTTGGGAAGATGGTTAAAAGTTGATTTTTCAGCCTTTTTTAATTTTTTTTGAAAAATTGTATAAAAAAGTGAGAGATGATGTGACCAAAAATGAGTTAAAAGCTGAGAATAACTTTTAACCTACTTCCCAAAAGAGGCTTTAAACAAAAAAAAAAAAAGCCAAAAGCTCTTCCCAAATGAAACTAATTTAGCCAGGTTAAATTAGTTAAAAAGTCAAACTAAATTAACTCTTCATCAAAAACTTTTTAGATCATAACTAAAATAATGTCATAACTAACATTATAATAAATCATAATTAATATCATAATAAGTTAAAACTAATGAATTATAAATGTTGTAATTGGAGCATATAGTACACACCTAAAAAAGGCGTATATCATAGAATTTTCCTTATTCTTTTCATATCATAAAAAAAATCAAAAAATCTCACAAAAAAAAAAAAAAAAAAGTAAAGTTCTTAAAAAATTAAAAATTTAATAAAAATTTGTTACTATAATGTCATATTTGTATGGACGTATTGGATGAGGAGAGATTATAATCCACTGGATTGACTTTTTATAAGTTAATTCTATGGAATTGTTATCCCACCATTTGTATCTCACCTCCTCTTAGGACACAACAATCTCATATATAAAAGATATGGAATCCGGTTGAATTCAGATTTATAAATTTTCAACCAAACAATAGACTCCTCCATGAAATGGATATAGAGTCCAATCCCCCCTCCAATCCCTCCAAACAAATACCCCTAATTGTTATTAATTTGTTTACTAACATAAAATATATATCATATTTATTGGTATGTAAATTTTTTAGAACTATAGAATTGAACTAAATCATCAAATAGATTTTTATAGGTCGATTCTAATTCAATTTCATGTATTTAACAATTTAATTACCGTTTTAATTTCATAAACCCGTAAGAACTAATTTGATTTTTGATTTTTACTCAATTCGATCCATAAATGCCCTTATATAATCATTAATGTTTGATTAATTTGAATGAAATAACCATTCTATTAAAATATTTATTCTCATATTTAGTTAGATTAAAATAATAATAATAAATATATTACAAATAAAATTAATTTTCACTATTTAAAAAAAATGATCATTCCATACAAAAATTTAAAAAATCAAAATTACATTTCATCACCCCATACTCCAATCAACCAGGATCAGCATTTTTCCGTTTAGCATTGACATTTTTAATTGGTTTTTTTGAGTTGAAATTTTTTTAGTTTAAAATTAAAAAAAATTGTTTGGTTTGAATTTTTTTACTTTTATAAAAAAATAAAATAATTATAATTTAAAAATTATATTTTATGTTATTAATTTATTTAACTTATTTTATCTTTTATACTTTTTTTTAATCCAATTAAATTTGCCAAACGAAGACTTTTAGTTACAGAGATAAGTATGGGCATGGCACGTGGGACAGTGGTCCTGGAAGAAGTAATGGAATATAGAAATTACGTAATAGTATGCTACTTTGTGATGTAAGGAATCAAACTCCTCCTCCCTCCAATCAATAAAATAAATTTAAAAATAAAAATAAAAATTCATCCTCTTCTGTTTATAAAACCCCACAAAAACTTCCCATACCGACTTGCTCCCCCGTTGACATAACCCCTCTCTCTCTCTCTCTCTCTCTCCCTCTCTCTCTCTCTCGCTATAATTCTCAATCACTCTCTCTCTCTAGAAATCACCACCGGCGGCGATGAACCTATCCGACGGCGGCGTGCGGCTGGAGCTGATGCAGACGACCTCCTCCCCGCTGGCGATCGACGTCTCGGAGACGGCGGAGACGAGGATCCGACGCCTGATATCGGAGAATCCAGTCATCATCTTCAGCAAATCCGCATGCTACATGTGCCACGTCATGCGGCTACTCCTCTCTGGCATCGGAGTCCACCCCACCGTCATCGAATTGGACGACGATGATGAGATCTCCGCCGTCCCTTCCGACGACGACGACGACGGTGGCGGCGCCGCCGCACCGGCGTTGTTCATCGGAGGGACAAGAGTCGGCGGACTGGAGAGACTGAATGCTCTCCACGTCGGTGGTCACCTGGTTCCCAAGCTCGTTGAAGTTGGTGCTCTCAGTGGTTTGGTATTGTAATTTTGTACTAGTATTTTATTTTATTGGTAGTCTCAGTCTCTGTCTCTGTCAGTTTATGAAAATCTGTATTATTGTAATTGAAAAAGAAAATGCAAACCCACAATTATTAGCAATAATATTGATTATAATAATAATTAATAATTAATTTCCTCTTTTTGTAGTAATTGATCTTCTGCATATAATAAACAACCTATGAACGGTTGTCATCATTGCATGACCATTATTTTGTTAATATCTGATTTCTTTGTCATGATTTTTTTTGTAATAATCTGATCGTGCTTTGTATCATTAGTGAATTACTTAATTCAATAATTTAAAATAAAATTGAACACACATTAAAATGTTATAATTATACTTTACCTTACTACTGCAAAATTATTGCAGAAAATCTTGACTTAACATGTAAGAGGAGTAATTTTTGTGATCACTTCAATTCGATCAAATCTGTCCGAGTTGGAATTGATGTATATGTCCATTTTTAGTTTAATTTTATTTAGAGTGTTTAGCCATGTGTCTTGCATGTAATATCTGATGGTGCCGTTTATGATTTTTTTTTTTTTTTAAATTTTTTTAAGAGTTTGTGTTATATTTTTTGGTCCAAATTCTGTAAGTGTAAGGTGTAAGTGTAAGGTATAAGGTGTAAGGTGTAAGTTGCACACCATAACCAAACCCTTTTTAGTTTAATTTTATTTTGTGTGTTTAGCCATGTGTCTTGCATGTAATATCTTATGCTGCATTTTATGATTTTTTTTATTTTTTTAAAAATTTTGAAGAGTTTGTGTGTTATATTTTTTGGTCTAAGTTCTATTTACAATTTCTATAAAAAATAAAAAAAATAAAAAAATAAAAAATTGACTATCAAAATGTTAAGAAAGAGACTTTTTAACATCAATGTTTAGATTATAAATTTAAATTCTGTCACAAACTACGGAAGTTAAAGATTGATATGTTAGGCAATATGAGAAAATAATTCAATGTTTTTAACATTTGTGTTTAAATTATGTATTTTAACTTGTGATAAACTCTAGGTCAATTATTTTCAACTTTTCTTTTAGGGCAAATTATTTTCAGACTTCTTCAATCATACAAATCTAGATTTGTGAAGAATTTATAGTTGTGAAGTAATTTAGTTGTTTTTTTAAAAAACATGATTATGATGATGAGTAAGCCTAGAAGAATATTCTTTACCTGTTTTCATATAGAAGCTTTGGGAAATATGTTGTTGGACAATTTTTTGAATCACAACTTCTTTTTGACCTCTGAAAATGTACTCTTTTATTACTCTTACAAGTAATCAGAAGAATTTTAATTATTCCCAGTCTAACTTCTTGAATAGTTTGCTTGGACTGAGGAGTCAGTTTAATCTATTTTACTCCTTAACAGAATTTGATTCTGTCACTTTAAAAAACGTATAATGTTGTGTCATCTTATTGGATTGAATCTAGATGGTATGATTTCATTTACGAATGTATTTCATAATCGATTCGAAATCTTCTCGTGTCAAAAAATTCTAATAAATTCATTTTGTTGTTTTTCAATAATGCTTCAAAGATTGGATGAATGCAATGCATTTTGTGCACTTTTTCGAAACAATTTGTCTATTTTATTTCTTTATTTTTTGTGGACAAAGTGAAGAACTTAATATTTCATTGCATGAAAAGTATTACAAGAGAGCTGTAAAGAAAAAAGGAGGGACATACCTTGGTATCTTTTCCTACTAACCATCAGATATTTGGTGATCCAAAATCATGAGATTATTAATGGTCTTGATTAATTAGAGTTGGTCAACTTAGTCAAAGTGAAGCTCAATGTCTCATTTATTTATTTTTAAATTATTTTATTTTATTTTATTTTTTAAGGTAAACCAACAAAATGAGATTTTAGACCGTACTTTTATTGATTTGGTAAGAAAATAATCACTAAACAACTTAAGGTAGTGTTTGTTTTATGAGATTTTTATTGATATGTCCAATTTAGAAGTGTTTTAATTCAAAAAGTCCATGAAGAAATTTTTTAACCCATTTAGTCCCATGTATGTATAGTTTTATTCCATAAAGTCCATTTTCTTGATTTACACTATTTTCTTGGACACTTATGTCCTTATATTCAATTTTGATACCTTTATAAATATTTTTTGAATGATTAGCAATTTAATGATGTGAATATTCATATTTTAAAATTCACATTAGTAGGAATGTAAAATTGGCCCGTGGGCGGCCCGAAACCCTCCCGTGAGCCGGGGCGGTCCCGGCCTGTTGACAATGTGAATATTCACATTGACATATTAACATTCACATTAATAGGAGTGTAAAATTGGCCCGCGTCCCGTGGCGGCGCGAAACCCGCTCGCGGCCCATGGGCGGCCCGGGCGGGCCCGATCCGACCCATTGACAATGTGAATATTCACATTGACATGTTAACATTCACATTGATAAGAGTATAAAATTGGCCCGTGGCTCATGGGCAGCCAAAAGCCCGCCAACGGCCCGGGGAGGCTCCGGCCCGGCCCGTTGACAATGTGAATATTCACATTGACATGTTAACATTCATATTGATATGAGTGTAAAATTAGCTCACGCCTCGTGGCTGCCCGAAACCCACCCACGGCCTGTGGGCGGCCCGGGGCGGGCCCGACCCGGCCTGTTGACAATGTGAATATTCACATTGACATGTTAACATTCACATTGATAAGAGTATAAAATTGGCCAGCAGCCCAGGGCGAGCCCGACCTGGCCCGGCCCGTTGACAATGTGAATATTCACATTGAGATGTTAACATTCACATTAATGGGAGTGTAAAATTGGCCCCCGTCCCGTGGCGGCGCGAAACCGACCCACAGCCCATGGCGGCCCGGGGCGGGCCCAGTTCGGCCAATTGACAATGTGAATATTCACATTGGCATGTTAACATTCACATTGATAAGAGTATAAAATTGAAGAATATTCTAACTAATTATCATATATTTATATAATATATAATATTAATTTGGATAATATTTTTTTTAGATATATAACACAGTAATTTTACATAATATGTTTCATATATATAACCACTAATTTATAATAAATTTCACATTTTAAATCTCTCTCCCACTTATTTTTACATTGATATTTTATTGGAGATTAAAAAATTTATATGTATTAACTATAGCGAAGCGAAACGATTTCGGTTGGCAGATTATAAATTTTAAAATTTAAATCGTAGTTAGCAGTTAGAGCGGTGAGAATTGATGCGAATCGGCGCAATTTTAACAGATTGGACCATGTTTTACACGACCTTAATCAAAAGGTTGAGAGGAAAGTCTGGGAGTGGTAAATCATTTCAGTCCAGTTCAGTCAAGTAACAATTTATTTAAAATTAATTTAAAATTTTAAAAATTTTAGTTTTTGTGTGAATTTTAAACGAAGGACCGAGCCTAAATAATATGTCAAGTTTCACTTTGCTCTTTAAATTTTTTTTTTCATCACTTTAGTTCTTGAATTATTTTTCATTCCCTACTGTGTTCTAATTACCAATTCCCGCTCCATTAAATTTAAAAGTTAAGTTGTTAAATTATTTTTCATTCCCTTCCCAACTGTGTTCTAATTATCAATTCCGGCTCCATTAAATTTAAGAGTTAAGTTATTAAATTATTTTTCCGACAATGCTACGTAACTCAAATTTTGTGGCTCAAAAGTGGCTCAAATGGCCAAAACGACGTCGTTTTGAGTACAAAACAACATAAAAATGGCCAAAACGACGTCGTTTTGGCCATTTGAGCCACTTTTGAACCACAAAATTTGAGTTACGAGACATTTTCTTTATTTTTCATTTCCTTCCCTACTGTGTTCTAATTACCAATTCCCCCTCCATTAAATTTAAAAGTTATGTTAGCCCTTGGGTTTGATTCAGTGGTCATGTAGTCACACTTAAGGACGTAGTGAGGGAATGGTCAAGAACTCGAATTGATAAAGCAGCGGCGACCCTTTTAGTTGTATGCTAACTTTACTAATATATTAACATTCTACAATCTTTAAAATTGAAGAGAACAAAAAAAAAAATTCAAAAATTAAGTTTCTCACTTTAGTAAAGTTTTTCATTTTGATCACTACAAAAATTAATCTTTTACACTTAATCTCAAAATTAATCCCCAAGCCCACCCAATCTCATAACCAATTTCATATACGAAAATGACAAAATACAATGGGTATGTGCCTTCAGAAGAGCGAAGAGGGAATCAAAGTCTGGAGATGGAAGAATGAGATTGGTAACAAAAATGTTTGGGAGTTCTAAATCAAAAGCTCTAAAGGAGCTCTAATAAGTGAGCCCACCCATTGATGTAATGTTTTGATTTTTTTTTTTTTTCTTTTTCACTGCCAACTCAGTAGCACCAAGGATCCTCTAGAGTGAAATTTCCCTAAAGTTTCCTAAAGTGCTACAGTGTATGGTTGAGATTTATTGGTAAGTCACATCAGAAAAATTGATGTGACTTGCCAATAAATCTCAACCATACACTGTAGCACTTTAGGAAACTTTAGGAAAAAATCACTCTAGAGGATCCTTGCTCACTCAGTAGAGCTCTCGAGCTCTTTATCACTTCCCGGATTGGTAAAGAGAATGAGAGGAAGGGGAATGTAGAGAGGAAAAGGGGATTAGTTGTGAAGAATGAGAAAAATTGTGCTTATAGTGCAAGGTAAGGAAGGGAAAATGGATGGAAAGAGTAAGAGTAGGAAGGTAAAAAGGAGGGAAATTGCTTAGGTCGTAAATGGTGATGATGGCCTACGGTAGAGGGAATTGATGGGTTGTAAAGAAAACGGATGTTAAATTTTTGGATAAGTTATATTGATCCCATGACGCTTGAAAAAAATAGAACAAATTTTATAGTTCTAGCATAAATATATTGGGTATCTTTAAAGTTTTAATTTATATTATACTTTGTTTTATTTTCATCAATAATTCATTAATCATATGGATGAAAAAATGATATTATCATTTTTTAACACTGAAATATATTTTTTTTATGTTTATTCTCATATCTTCACACTATTTACATTAAGGGGGTTTTTTTTTTTAAGGTCCCTCGTATTAAGATTTTATAACATAAAGGACATCTAATATTTTCATAATGTCTAAGGTCCCTCAAGTTGATCCAAAGAAAATTGGTCCAGAGAAAATTAATCC